ATAAAATACACATAATTACGCAAAACCTGTAAATTTGTGTACTGGGTGCTTTGTTAACAGGGTAATTCCGTATACTCCATGAATCGTAATTAAATTCATCAGGAATATTATATCGATTGGAAAGTGATACCACTGATAATGAATATATTTATTTTGCTCATAAGATTTCTCAGGTTTGAAATTCGTGCGATCAGTGGTATTATTGTAAATTTTTTAAGTGATTCCGTAACATGTCCTTCGTAGAGAACAAGATATATTATAACCACCGATAGTGAAAAAATAAATATGAAGTAAATTGTTGTAATTTGTAACGATGATAAAAAGGTGAACACTTAATGTGAAAAAATGTGTGTTTTTGAAATTCCAACTGAAAATATCCAAGATTGCATGAGGCATAAATTAAATAACATAGTTAGATAGGAATATTGAAATTGTTGACAAAATATACAAAAAATTGAAAAAGGTTTTTGGGTAGTAATGAAAAAATATACAACTTACAAAACTTACTTTACAAAACACAAATGTTGCTCAAAGTGACACGAGCCAACGAAATCAAAAATGAGAAATAGAATTGTAATGAATTTCATTATTTCGGACTTTCATTGTCTAATATGATTCTACTATGATTCGAATTCCGCTTCATTATCGGTTTCTATATGTTGCGTATCTCTACATAAATACATCGTATGGTTGAGAATACATGGAGGACGAGAGTTACATCAAGTTTATTTACTTTACAAACTATTTGTTGATAAAATACCAGAAGGTTTGGTATCATAACAGATACCTTAAACCAGTTTCCACCATCACCATACCCAAACATTTCACTGTTTTTTTATGGAAAAATCATTCACATATCAGGCTGCTAGCATTTCCAATATACATGGTGTTCTAAATTGAGTCTGCACCATTGCCAAATCCGTACTGCGATTCCAAGAATTGCATTTACTGGATACCCTGTGGAGTGTGTGGAACATCCTATATTGGTGAAACTAAGAGGTCATTGAAAGTTTGCATTGCCGAGCACAAGAATCACACACAGCAAGGGGAAACCAGCAAATCAGGACTAGCAGAGCATGTTCGGACCCATCAACAAAACATCGAGTGATCCCAAGCTGAGTCATACATAGGGAGGAACATTAGTTTAGGAAGAAATTCAAAGAAGTTGCATACATGCTGTCCAACAATGTATTTAGCCAAGCCAGCTTAGAGATACGCATATGGAAAGCCATAATCAAGGCCAACTTCCGCCAAACGGTCATCTCCCGCTAAACCGGTGAAGCGGAGATAAGTGAAAGTACTCGAACGACCCATAAATAGTCATCTCTCGGAGAAATTAGTCCAGTCATCACCCGGAGTCATCACCCGAAGACGATTGTGGATACCAAAAATCGAAACGTCGTGAAGTACCTTGGCTTGGAATCTCTTAATTTTTTATTGTCATTTCAGGGTTTTTTGCTTGATATATTTGTTATTTTCAGCTATCCTTTTTTTAATTTTTCTTTTTTATTGGTTCTTTCAGGGATTTCAAATCATTTTATATACATATTTAAACATTGGAAGTCCGAACTAATGAAATTCATATCACATTTTTCTTGATGGGAAAACGGCATTTCGAAAAATATTTGAACAGTAGTTGACAGTTACAATAATTCATGACATTGTCAAGATAAACTTGAGAATATTTGACAAATAGTTTTAAAGCCACTTGTTTACTCATAACAACTAATTCTGTTTTATCGAATCAAACACATTTTTTCCAACCGTAATAATATGACGCTCCAGTAATTTATGTTCTGTACAAAAACGGCTTCAACGTTATCATTACAGCAGACATATTTTGATTCACAAAATAAATAGGGCTAGTGGAATGGCTTTAAGATGAAAATTATCGTTTTGTTAATTAATACCAAATAATACTAATAATATTCGGTAAACAGCGATCACAACAATCTGTAAGAAGTTAACTCATCTTTCAATAACTTTCATTAATTTTGGTTTTATAACCATATACCAATTTGTAAAATGTAGTACACAATAATGGTTGAGTGTAAGAGTAGCGTAAGCTAAACTCCGTCAGTTTAGATAAATACGATTTATTATTATTATTATTAAATAAATAGTGAAATCCACGCAAACTCCTTATACGAAATGACCAAAATTTTATATACTAGTATGTATATACTAGTATGTTTTTCATCTGGCTATACTTTTTCTTTGACAGAAATACTTCTAAATAATTTTCATATAATATATCCCAGATAAGAGAAGCAACATAGAAACCTACTCCATATTTTCTATTTAATTCAATTTTAAGTAGTTGCTACTTACAACTTAGAGTAAAAAAAGCTATTCATTCGACTTTACAACTAATCTCACTTTGTTATTGTTATTGAGTATGGGAATTTTCAAAAATATCAATTTTTTTGTCACATTACAAATTCCTAGTGGGG